TTCATACCAATAAAATAGTTGTGTGCTTATATAAAAAAAATAGGATATTAAAAATAAGATGTCAGAAACACACGACCCAAAAAGATTTCCCGCGACATTCCTTTTGTAAAAGATTACTAATCTCATCAATGGTGTTCAAAATATTTGTTAAAGCGATATCTAGAAAAGAACCAAAAATAATTTTACATCCAGATGTTGCTATGAGTAAGGATATCTTATTCGTTATTGCCGAAGTTCATCATAGGTTGTGTGTCTGGAAGCAAAATGCAACTAAATACCTCAATCAAGTTTATAAAAGGTATGTCCGTTTCCCGAGTAATTTTAGAAATGCATTTATAAGTATGGGGACGAAGGAGAATTTACAAAGGCTTGGAATACTATTCTTGATGAATATAACCTTTATGAAAATGAATGGGTTGCGAGGAAAATATGCTTTGAGGAAAAATTTATTTGCAGCATATAGAAAGAAAACTTTTTATGGTAGCATGAATAGCACATAATTGAGTTAGAGCCGAAATAGGGATTTGAAGGTTCCAATAGGTTCGTATGATGATTTTAGAGTTGAATGTATGTCAGATTGAGTTTCGGGTGAACCGGAAGCATTCCGACGCTTATTGTTGAAAGTTGGTGCCTTGAAGGTATTAGAGTTTCCTAAATTTATATTGAAGTAGATTCGGTGTTATCAATGTCTGTTTTGGATTCTGAGCTTAGGAATAGGTTCATATTGTAATTTGTGACTTGTCAAAAAATTTGGCATCATTCCGAGTTGTCTAAGCATGATTTGTCGCGTTTGGAGCTTGTTGAAGAAGTTTGAAGTTCAAAAGTTGATTTATTTGGTTTGAGGGTGCGATTCTTGGTTTTGATATTGTTTTATATGTTTCGAGACTTTGAGCAGGTCCGGATTATGTTTATGAACTTGTTGGTGCACTTGGACAGGGTCCCAGGTGGCTCAGGTGTATTTCTGACCACCCGGAGTTAAGTCCAAATTGCAGAAATTCCTGGTACTGGTTTCTTTCTTCACGAACGAGGTGGATGTCTCACATTTGCCCGCATACACGATGAAGGATTTGGGGCTAAGGCATTTTTGTGCTTCGCGTTCGCGATTATGTGGTCGCGTTCGCGAAGCCTTGAGACCAGTGACCTTCACATTCGCGATGGAAGTCTCGCGTTTGCATAGAAGGGGGCTGGGTCTGGGGAGACTAGGATGTTGGTCTTCGCGTTCGCGAAGGGTAGGCTAGTCCAGCCCTACTTCAGCACCATTCTAAAGAGTACCTACCGTTCATTGAATATTCAAGGTTTATCCAATGGATATTCAGGTCACCAGGGTCAGACCCGAAACCGAGATTTGAAGGTTCCAATAAGTTTGTATAATGATTTTGGACTTGGATATGTGTTCGGATTGAGTTCCGTTGAACCGGGAGCGTTTCGACACTTATTGTTGAAAGTTGGCGCCTTGAAGGTTTTAGAGTTTCCTAAATTTGGTTTGAAGTAGACTTTGGTGTTATCGATGTCCATTTGGGATTTCGAGCCTGGGAATACGTTCGTATTGTGATTTGTGACTTATGCATAAAATTTGGCGTCATTCCGAGTTGTTTAAGCATGATTCGTCCTGTTCAGAGCTAGTTGAAGAAGTTTGAAGTTCAAAAGTTGATTATTTGGTTTGAGGGTGCGATTCTTGGTTTTGATATTGTTTTATGTATTCCTAGACTTTGAGCAGGTCCATATTATGTTAATAAACTTATTTGTGCATTTGAACGGGGTCCCGGATGGCTCGGGTGTGTCTCGGATCACGGGTTAAGTCGAAATTTCAGAAATTGCTGGTATTGGTTTCCTTCTTCGCGAATGTGGTGGGTATCTCGCGTTCGCGATGAAGGATTCGGGGCTGAGGTATTTGCGTGCTTCGCGTTCGCGATTGTGTGGTCATGTTCGAGAAGGCTTGAGACATGTGGCCTTCGCGTTCGCGATGGAAGTCTCACGTTCGCATAGAAGGGGCTGGGCCTGGGGAGACTAGATCGTTGGTCTTAGCATTGGCGGAGGGATGACCGCATTCATGAAGGGTTGTGATAGTTTATATGAGTCCACCAAACTATAGAGTATCAGGTCCTCTATGAGTTTCCACTGAGAACACTAATAAAACAGTAAGTAAATAAGTCAGGGAGTTTTACGTGGAAAAATCCCTGCTCAAGCGGATAAAAACCACGACCTACACTGGTAGGATTTCAACTTCACTATGAGCAACTTTTAGATTGCAATCTAGGAATTAAACTCTTAATCCCTCACTAACTCGTAATACACCTATTACAAGCCACTTGGCAATACACCTATTACAAAGACTTTAACTCATGACTAACTCTAGTCACGACACAAACACAAAGGGTTTATGGTTTTACAAAGGGTTTCCTAAGCAGTGCTTATAGCTAAGCAAATTAGGAATTACAATGAAGAACAATTAAAAAGTTATAACTCAACTAAGGACAACAAAATACTTGATTTAGGAACTGGTCCGTAGTAGAGTTAAACTTTGTTCTTGAGGCACTTGAGAATTGAATGCACGAATCTCAGAAGGCTTAAATGCTTGAAGTGAATTCTCAAGTGTTCAAGCAATGTTTTTGTTGTAATACTCTTGTTAATACACCTTGATGACATCACATGAATGATGTAAGCACTTGGTTGCTCAAAAGACAAGTGACTGCAGAACTGTGCTGCACTGTGTGCATTGTTTCTGTGGCAATCACTTTCCAGCTGTACACAGTTGACTGTCGTACTGTTGTCAGGGAAGCACAAGGGATCAGGTCCCTGTGTTGGTTCTCTATCTTCTAAGGTTGCAGCAATTCTCATTAGCTGGAGTCCGTTGATTTGCAATGTATACCAAGTGTGTTAGGTTCCCTATCTGGTTCTTAATAGTAAGTTTGTTTGATTTTGAAGCCATGGACCTCCTCTCAGCACTGGGTAGGAGAACTTTGTTCACTAGTTCAAACAACAACTGATAAACAGGCAATAATGCTTTCTTGTGAACCCGTTCCCCTTGCCGGTTCACCCCTTCCTTTACAATTGCATTCCTGAAGTTTGCACCACACACATCCTTGACAGAAGACACCCCAACAGTAGGGGACTTTAAGAATCTCCCCAAGCAGAGCCACATCAAACACAATATCCACCCCATTCACTAAGGCAAAAATGTGGTCGGTATCAACGGGAAAGAGGTCAGCATAGAAGCTTTGAACCTCATCCTCATACACTTTGGGCACATCTATTTGGAATAGATGCCCCCACCGTTGAAACTCAACCATCTCAATTACTTGTCGCATACCAGCCATATCAGAGATTGCTGGGTCAAAAGTGCGACCTAGCAAGACCTTTTGGTGCCTCAAACGTTCTGAAGCAAAACTAGTTTCACTTCTCACCCTCTTTGCAGAAACAGGTTCCTTCGAAGTTTCCGACTTTCTCTTGCCAGACTTCACAACACTTGATTTTTCTTTTCCACTCGACTTGAACAAACATCCTCNACCATAATTTCCATCCTTGAAAGTTGCTACCTTCTGCCTGTGCTCAATCATGATAGCAGGCTGATTCACTGCTCATCAGAATCTGATGGTTCACTCACAACATCTTTCAACTTTGAAATGGGGGTTGTAACATCCTCCACTGAAACAGATTGCTTCTTCTTCCGTGACCTTTTTACCAAGGAATTAGGTTCCTCTGTTTGTTCCTCATCCACTTCCACCACAGGGACACTCTTATCACATACTACTTCACCATTTTTCACCAACCTCTTCTTTTTCTTCTTACTGCTCTTTTGCTCTTTTAAATGCATCAAGAGCAATGTTGTTTTGATCTTCCTCATCACTAGACCTCATCTCAGGAACCAGAATTTCCAAGGGCTCAACAGCAAAGTGTGGTGAAGGTGCAGGAGCAGAACTGACCTGGGAGTGGGAACCTTGACATGTTTCCTCCGGAGAGGGGTCAGGTCCTTCACGAGAAGGCCCAGTAGTTCCGCTGGTGTAGAGCCTTCAAACAGCACCATGGCTCCTTCTTCCACTAACCCCTGTGTCTCATTCCTCTGAGACTTGGGTACACCAAAAATTACCTCATGCAATATTCCATCTGCAGATACAACAAAAATGGTCGCGACGGTTTCATCCTCTAGAGGCTTCGTGGTCACCACAGAATCTGAACTAAGAATGGCGGAAGGTTGATCAACCCTCGCCCCTGAAACCTCTACAGACCTTGGAGCTTTACCCTGTTCTCCACTTTTACCTTGGTTGGTGAGAAGCTCATTCGATAGAGACGAAGGATCATCGATTTTAGGGGTTTCTGAGTCCTCATCGTTTAGAGGAAGACAGAGGTCCGAGATAGTCGCATTAAAACTAGAGAGTGAAGGGAAATCTGGGTTGGAGGTTGTTTCAGTAGTTAAGACGGGAATGGTGACAGAAGATTCATCAGGGAATGAGGACTTAAGGGTTTTCTCTAGGTTAGTGTCGACTGAAGAAGGGATTTTGGAGTGATTGTCAGCCATTGAAGAGATAGAGTTGAGAATTATTAGAGAAGGTCTGAGGAGAGAAATATGATCGGTCAAGAGAAGAGAGGGTTTTAATGAGAGAAGATAATCATGAGGAGAGAGATAGGAACTGGTTCCGAAACGGCGATAGTGCGTGGAAAGTTGCAACGTTTTAGAGGGAGATGGAGAGGATGTGAAATGAAAAGACATGACAGTAGAGTCTGAAAAGGTGGATGACATGGCAGTTGATATTTGCACCTTTTTGATATATGTATTAAAGAATGCACAGGACTACTAACCTTTGGTACAAGAACCATGTGCTTGACCTGTCTTTGAAAATTTCAATCCTCTTTTACCGCCCATGCAATGCATCTACAGCTTCCATAATCATCATGTGTGTCTACCTGCAATGGTATTTAAGTGAGTTAGACTTGGCCGGAAAACACTTTAGCTAATATTACCTAAAGGTGACTTTCATAGCCAACCGATGGGAATCGGGTTCTCAATTAGGCTTCAATAGCCCCAGCTTCAACCTATTTTTTTCAAAATGCTCCCTACTCAATGCTTTGGTAAAGATATCTGCAATTTGATCTTCTGTACTGCAGAACTTCATACAGATAAGCCCCTTCTCCACATCGTCTCTGAGGAAATGATGTCTCACATCAATGCGCTTTGTTCTTTTGTGTTGAACTGGATTCTTGGCCATGTTAAGAGCACTGGTGTTATCACGTAGAAGAGGCACATATTCATTGTATACACCAAAATCTTCCAATTGTTGTTTGATCCATAGGAGCTGAGCACAGCAAGAAGCTGCAGCTACATATTCTACTTCAGCTGTTGAAAGAGCCACAGAGTTTTGCTTCCTTGTGCCCCATGAGATAAGACAAGATCCTAGAAAGTGAGCCATTCCAGAAGTACTTTTCCTATCCACAAGATAACCAGCATAGTCAGCATCAGCATACCCAACGAGATTAAAATTGTCACCTGAGGGGTAGTACAGGACCAGGTCCTGTGTTCCCTTAAGATATCTCAAAATTTTTATGGCAGCCATCAGATGAGATTCATTGGGATTTGACTGAAACCTTGCACATAGCCCCATACTAAAGACAATTACAGGTCTGCTGGTAGTGAGATAGAGAAGAGACCCAATAATGCCTCTATACATAGTTTGATTCACAGGTGATCTAGACTCATCCATGTCCAGTCGAGTAGCAGTTGCAATGGGAGTGTCTATCACTTTTGATGCTTCTATATCAAACCTTTTCAAGAGCTCCTTGATGTATTTCTGCTGGCAAATGAATGTACCCTTTGTGTACTGCTTCACTTGAAGACCCAAGAAATTTAACTCACCCATCATGCTCATTTCAAACTCACTTCCCATAAGTTTTGAAAATTCTTCACACAGTGAATCAGCTGTTACACCAAAAATGATATCATCAACATACACCTAAATAATGAGCAGGTTCCTCCCCCATTTCTTCAAGAATAGGGTGTTGTCAATTTTTCCTCTTGTAAAACCATTTTCTAAGAGGAATTTGGACAACCTTTCATACCAAGCTCGAGGAGCCTGCTTCAACTCATACAATGCCTTGTCCAGTTTAAACACATATTCAGGGTGCTCATGGCATTCAAACCCCGGAGGTTGCTTTACATAGACTTCTTCGTTAAGAAATCCATTCAAAAATTCACTTTTGACATCCATTTGGAACAAAGTTAATTCCATATGTGATGCAAAGGCAACTAGAATTCGAATAGCTTCCATGCGAGCAACCAGAGCAAATGTCCCATCATAATCAATTCCTTCTTCCTGATTGTAACCTTGAACCACTAGCCTGGCCTTGTTCCTTGTAGTGTTTCCATGTTCATCAAGCTTATTCCTGAATACCCACCTGGTTCCTATGATGGTTCGATCTGAGGGTCTAGGTACCAGGTGCAATACATTGTTTCTTTCGAATTGATGCAACTCATCTTGCATGGTTATAATCTAGTCTGCATCCTTTAAGGCTTCCTTGATGTTTTTGGGTTCTATTTGGGAAAGAAAAGCTGAGAAGGCAAGTGAGTTTCTGGCTTTTGATCTAGTTTGCACTACGGAATCTAGAGGGGTAATTATGATATCAAGAGGATGAGAGCTTTTGTATTTCCAGTTGGGCATTTGAGGCTCATTTGTAGAGGAGCTGGGTGGATCTAACTAGTTCCCTTGTGTTCTTCTCTCAGCTACTTGTGGAGTACCTTACACTGCATCAACTACTCTTTCTTCAGCTTCAGTGGTTGTAATTGTGGTACCTGGTTCCCTTGAGGAAGAACCTGCATTGTCTCCACTTGGCTCCTTCACTTGACTCATCATGTCTGCCTTTCCATTTGTCATGTTGATGACTTCACCTGGAACCATCAAAGGTTCCCCATCTTGATCATCCTTGTTGATTTTCTCACAGGAGGGATAGGACTCGTCAAAGATTACGTGAACACTTTCCTCAACACACTGAGTCCGCTTATTGTATATCTTGTAATCTTTGCTTTGAGAAGAATACCCCCAAGAAGATTCCTTCATCACTTTTGGCATCACATTTTCCAAGCTGATCCTTTCCATTGTTGAGAACATAACACTTGCCTCTAAATGCTCTTAGGTAAGATAGCTTGGGTTTTCTTCCATTCAGCAACTCATAGGGGGTTTTGTCCAGGAGTGATCTGACCATGCACCTGTTCACCAAGTAGCAGGCAGTGTTAACAACTTCAGCCCAGAAGTTCTTTGCAATCCCACTGTCGATCAGCATTGTTCTTGCCATTTCCTCAAGAGTTCTATTCTTCCTTTCCACAACTCCATGTTGTTGGGGAGTTCTTGGGGCTGAGAAGTTGTGGGTAATGCCATTTTTGTTACAGAACTCGTCAAATTTGGCATTGTCAAATTCTGTTCCATGATCTGATCTTATACGTGCTACTCTAGACTCCATCTTCACTTGGATTTTCTTCACAAAGGCCACAAATACCTCAAAGGTTTCATCTTTTGTTCTCAGAAACAGAGTCCAAGTGAACCTGGAGTAGTCATCCACTATCACAAAGATGTACCTTTTTCTTCCCCTGCTTTGCACTCACATAGGGCCACATAGATCCATATGAAGAAGATCAAGTGGCTTTGAGGTGCTGACATCTTTCTTAGGCTTAAATGAGGACTTCAAATGCTTCCCTCTGGCACAGGCATCACAGACTTTCTGTTCTTTGAACTTTGACATGGGCAGACCACGGACCAGGTCCTTCTGAATCAATTTATTTGAAAGAGAGAAGCTTGCGTGCCCCAGTCTTCTGTGCCACAATTCAGCATCATTATCAATAGCTTTTAAGCAACTCAGATCACCACTTCGTAGAGACTTAAAATCAGCAACATAGATGTTCTTGTATCTTTTGGCCAGAAGTACCACTTCACCAGTTACCAGATTTGTAACTGTGCATATCTTGGACAAGAACTCCACCTTGTTTCCTTTATCACAAATCTGAGAAACACTCAAGAGACTGTACTTGAGACCATTGACATAGTACACATTCTCAATTGAGTGAGTGAGTGAGTGAGTGACTGCTCGACTTTTCCAACTCCAAGAATGTATCCCTTTTTCCCATTACCAAAGGATACACTCCCTCCTTGCAGGGCTTTTAGTGAAAGAAAGTCCATGGTGTTCCTGGTCATGTGCTTTGAACATCTACTATCCATGAACCATTGTTGACTACTTCCTTTCACTATTCCCTGCACAAGGAAATCAAGAGTTAGTTTTAGGAACCCAAACAAGTTTGGGCCCCTTGTAATAAGCAAGAGGATGAATAAGAGCTCTCTTGGTCCATGCAGGTAACATGCATTTTTTATGGGTGGCACTTGGTCCCTTTTTAGTAGTTACCTTTTCAGCAAACACTTTATTTTTCTGAATAGACTTAACCCTGGCTTGGCAATTTTTCTTGAAATGACCATTTTTCCCACAGTGGGTACAAAGCTAGTTATCCGGTACAGTAACATACTTGCTATGGGTGTTGTAAGGAGTTCTCTCCCTTTGAAACCCTATTCCCTGCCTGTTTCCACCATTGTTGACGTACATGGCAGTAATAGCTTCCGTAGACCAGGTCCACTTAAGGGACTTTTCAAGATCATTTTTCACTCTTTCCAGTTCAATTTGGAGATGCTTATTTTTCTCAAGTTCAACACACAGGCTAGTTTTCACAGCTTTCAACTCGTTTTCAAGCTTAATGTGCGCCTCACTAGCTACCTCCTTTCCTTTCTTAGAATTTCCAGGCCTAGACTTAGTTCCTAGTCCCTCTATAGTTTCCCTCAGGTCTGCAATCACTATCAAGAGATCATCTCTTTCATCCTCTATTGCAGTCACTCTCTTCACTAAAGCATCCTTATCTTTACTTAAATTCTCAATTGCTTCTTTTAAGTCAACAGCTACAACCACCAAATCATGTCTTTCATTCTCTACACTAGCAATTTTTTTAGTTAAAACCATTTATTCATTCTCCAAATTACTTATGGTTTCCTTCAGATCAACTACACATACCACCAAATCATCTCTGGTTTGTTCAGCTTCTCCTAGTTCTAAGGTCAGGGCATCTTTATCTTCTACCAGACTATGATAGGCATCAATTAGAACATTTGCTAATAACATGAGTTTCATAGGAGAATAGGATTTCAGATTTCTCTGAACATCCCTGAAATTTACCTCATCGTTGTCATCATCTTCATCATCATCTGATTGTGCCATCAAAGCGAAAATTGAATCATATTCATTTCATTCACTTTCAACTGCCATCATGGAACTGTCACCTATATCAGTTTCTCCTTCAGACTCACTTGAGGAATCTCCCCATGCTGCAAGAGCTTGCTTCACAACGTTGTCAGCGGAATTCTTCCTTTTGAAGCGTTTGTCAGGAACCTGGTTCCTTTTGACTGCTTTATCAGAGTTGTACTTAAAGTGTTCTTGCTTCAGTAGAGGGTAATCTTTGATGAAATGCCCTGGCTTTCCACACTTATGACAGAGATCATAGTTCTTTGGTTTGCTAGTGGTGCCCCTTTTTGGTATTCCTCTATTTCTTCTGACCATCTTCTGAAACCTTTTGGTTAAGTAAGCCATGTCACTGTCCTCGTCACTTGAGTCATTGCTTTCAGCTTTGAGTACCAGGTTCTTTTCCTTCTTTGGTTCTCTTCTTTCACTGTCTATATTCCTCTTCATCTCATAGGTTTTCAGATTTCCAACCAGCTCGTCTATGGTCATCTCCTGCAGGTCCTTTGCTTCAGTAATGGCATTCACCTTAATTTCCCATGAACTAAGCAAGAATACTATGGATCTTCCTCATGAGCTTGTTCCTGGGAATGATTTCACCAAGTGAGTGTAGCTCATTTATGATGGAAGTGAATCTTGTGTGCATATCTTGAATAGATTCATCGTCTTTCATCCTAAAGAGTTCATACTCGGTGGTGAGCATATCAATCTTAGATTGCTTTACTAGAGTGGTTCTCTCATGTGCTGTTTGCAAAGCTTCCCATATCTCCTTGGCAGTTTCACAAGCAGAGATCCTATTGTATTCATCATTTCCTATTCCACACACCAAATTTTTCTTGGCACAAAAATGTTTCTCAACAACTTTCATGTCTGCGTAAGTGTATTCTTTTCAGGTCTTCGGCATTGACAATGGAAGGTCTCCGACATTCTTTGTTGGGATGTAAGGACCATCACATATGACGTCCCACAACTCAGAGTCTTCAGCCATGATAAAATCATGCATTCTTATCTTCCACCATCCATAGTATTGCCCATTGAACCTGGGTGGTCTATACGTAGACTGACCTTCTTCAAAATTTGGTGGAGCAGCCATAAGGATCTGTCCTAGGTGTTATCCTGATAGGAAGAACCCGCTCTGATATCAATTGATAGTTTATATGAGTCCACCAAACTATAGAGTACCAGGTCCTCTATGAGTTTCCACTGAGAACACTAATAAAACAATAAGTAAATAAGACAGGGGGTTTTACGTGGAAAAATCCCTGCTCAAGGGGATAAAAAACCACGACCTACACTGGTAGGATTTCAACTTCACTATGAGAAACTTTTAGATTACAACAAATGCAATCTAGGAATTAAACTCTTAATCCCTCACTAACTCGTAATACACCTATTACAAGCCACTTTGCAATAAACCTATTACAAAGACTTCAACTCATGACTAACTCTAGTCACGACACAAACACAAAGGGTTTATGGTTTTACAAAGGGTTTCGTAAGAAGCACTTCTAGCTCAGCAAATTAGGAATTACAATGAAGAACAATTACAAAGTTACAACTCAACTAAGGAGAACAAAATTCTAGATTTAGGAACTGGTTCGTAGTAGAGTTAAACTTTGTTCTTGAGGCACTTGAGAATTGAATGCACGAATCTAGAAGGCTTAAATGCTTGAAGTGAATTCTCAAATGTTCAAGTAATGTTTTTGTTGTAATACTCTTGTTAATACACCTTTGATGACATCACTTGAATGATGTAAGCACTTGGTTGGTCAAAAGACAAGTGACTGCAGAACTGTGCTGCACTGTGTGCACTGTTTCTGTGGCAGTCACTTTCCAGCTGTACACAATTGACTTTCGTACTGCTGTCAGGGAAACACAAGGGATCAGGTCCCTATGTTGGTTCTCTATCTTCTAAGGTTGCAGTAGTTCTCATTAGTTGGAGTCTGTTGATTTGCAATATATACCAAGTGTGTCAGGTTCCCTATCTGGTTCTTAACAGTAAGTTTGTTAGATCATCAAAGCATAAGGCTAAGACATTGAAAACCCATCAGGTTGGTCACGTTGACCTTCACGATCGCGAAGGCCTAGTACGCTCGCAAAGAGGATTTTCTGGGCGATGGCAGATTTTGCCCTCGCGATTGTAAGGGGCTTTTCGCGATCGCGAAGAAGGAAAAACTGGGCAGTAAAATTTTAAAACACGGGGCTTGGGCTTATTTTCTTCATTTCTCACTTCTCTTGGCCGAAATTTGAGCTCCTTGGAGAGGGATTTTCACCTAGCATCTTAAGATAAATAATTTCTACATAATGTGAGTTTAATACTTAGTTTATGGGTAGATTTTAACATAGAAATTGTGGAAATTATGAGATTTTGTTAGAAAATCTAGGATTTGGTAAAAGTGAGATTCGGCCAGAAAATTGATGTTAGAATTGGGTATAAATTATATATTTGAATTCGTAAGATCATGGGTAACATTTATCAACTAAAATTTTCAGAATTCGGGTACGTGTGCACGAGGATGACTTTAGGAACTTTCTGAATTGGGTTGGAAATTACTCTAATAGATGATTCATGAACTTTTGAGTATATATTGATTAGTTTGCACCACTTTTGACTAGTTTCAGATTGCTTGGTGATATTTTGTGGCTATTAGTGTGGTTTGATGGATGAGAAATGAACTTGGAAGCAAGGTAAGTCTCCTGCCTAATCTTATAAGAAGGAATTATCCCCGTAGGTGCTTAAATTGTTATTTGTTACTAGTTGTGGTTATTACATACGCACGAGGTGACGAGA